AGTTTATGACTAATGGCGTTCAATTAGTGATGCACAGTACTCATACGACAATAAAACTTATAAATATAGCAAAAGAGATATGATGTATATGCCACTATCAGTACTGGTACCAATGTTGATACCAATACCGATATCAATACTGATACCAATATTGTTACCAATAGTGATACTAATTCAATTAATACTGATACTCATACTCATACTAATACTAATGCTAATATTAATACTAATAACATTAATATTAATACTAATACTAATACTAATACTAATACTAATACTAATATTAATACTAATACTAATTCTAATACTAATACTAACACTAATATTAAATACTAATACTAATACTAATACTAATGTTAATACTAATAGTGATACTAATACTAATATTGGTACAAATACTGGTACTAATACTAATACTAATACTAATACTAATATTAATACTAATACTAATACTAATACTAATACTAATACTAATACTAATACTAATATTAATACTAATACCAATACTAACACTAATACTAATACTGATATTAATATAATATTAATACCGATACTAATAATGATACTAACACAAATATTAATACTAATTGTGATACTAATAGTAATACTAATACTAATAATAATACTGATACTAATACTAATACTCATACTCTTACCAATACAAATATTAATACTAATAATAAAACTAATACTAACACTAATATTCATATTGATACTAATACTAATACTAAGAATAAAACTAATATTGATACTAATACTAATAATAATATTGATACTTACAATGATAATTATAGTGATACTGATACTAATACTAATACTAATACTAATATTAATACTAATACTAATATTAATACTAATACTGATACTAATACTAATATTAATACTAATACTCATACTCATACCAATACTAATAATAATACTAATACGTACTAATACTAATATTCATATTGATACTAATACTAATACTAAGAATAATACTAATATTGATACTAATACTGATAATAACACCGATACTTTCATTGATAATGATAGTTATATTGATACTAATACTAATACTAATACTAAGAATAAGACTAATATTGAGACTAAAACTAATAATAATATTGATACTTATAGTGATACTAATAGTGATATTGATACTAATATTAATACTAATAGTAATACTAATCTTATATATAAAAGAAAGAAACGTTGGGCAACCCTAAAAAACCCTAATGACATTTCTGTAATTATTTATTTTTAACTTTTGTTTTTTACTAATTTTAACTATATTTTCA